TAGGCAGATCTACAAAGAACTAATCTTCTGCCTCCACCCCAGGCATTTATTGCACCCTTTCATCTCAGGCTGGTTTGGTTATGGGGTAGGGCAGTATTTTCCTCGTGTGAAAGATCTCTCCCTTCCCTGTCTCATCCTGTTCCCCATCGACTGTCTAGTTGTGGTTGCTTGGCCAGAGCTCCCTTCAGAACTCTGGCTCTCCTCTGTAACGGGAAGAGAGTTTATTTACTGAATGGGGCTAGGCAGCCCCTCATCTACCCCAAACCTGGAACTGATTGTGCTGCTGATGCAACACTCCCAGCACCAATCAGCTTAGGGGCATGTGGGACTAAGAATCCAATTTAGGACTACCCCTGGGCAAGCCAGTGCATGTCCCCGTGGTCATGGGCAGTGTTCATGTGCTCTGCACATTTTAATCCAGCAACCAAAGGAGGTAATTAACTGAAAGTTCTATTGCAGATGGGTTAACTCGAACGCCTAACTACCCTTGCTGTGTTCTGATTGGTTAGAAGAGCCAATAAATGTTAAGATTATTGTTGCAATTAATGTTCTATCTTGCACCTGTGTTCAGTTAAGACTGGTGATGATAGATATGCAGAAGAGCTGGGAACTGCTAGAAAGAAGCAGTTTCTACAAGGTGAGGAAGCTGCTGTTCAAGCTCTAAACTATTTGTTAGCTTCTTCCTTCAAGGAGCTAAGCATTTTGTTAAGATGTTCAAATTGGTGTTGTGTTTTTTCATTACTAAACAAACAACATTTTAAGCCATTGGGGGACAGTTGGCTGTGGGTTGTGTGTGTGTGTTTGTTTTTACCAGCACTGGAGACCTATTTTTGTTTACATTTTGAAATCCTAAGAATGTTTCTGAGATGAGTTAACATTTTTGGCTTTTGCCAAAGGAAATTACTTTCTGCTTTAACTGTGTGCCATAGGCTCTGTACTGCCAAGGAGATTCTCCCTTAGCTCAAATGATGTGGTCCTATGTTTTTTGGAGTAGGAGAATCTTAGATCCATCACGACTGCTGATGTGAAATTCTGCCTGTATAAATGATACCTCTAAAGTGCTTTCTTGGCAATGAATTTGTTACTACTTAGCTTTTTTTAACAGCAAAATTCTCCTAAACTTAAATCCATGGAACTGCACAGATATAACAAGATAAAAACTGAGCTTGTAATGTTCCTTTGTCTCTCCATAGACAGGGATCTGTTACTGAATAATTCCTCCACAGTAGGATTTGCCTGTCTTTTTTCACAGAGTGGACCACATCTTAATAGAAAATAACTCATGAATCCTTCTCATCCCCCTCAAATCACATAGGAGACTTCCCCCTTCCCCTGGCAATCGTAGAACAAGAGCCCGGTGAATCTGTGGATATCCACTATACGTCCACGGACCACGTTTGTGGATCGCAGATCGGATATGGATACACATTTTGTATCCACGCAGGGCTCTATTTATAACACCACTGTGACACCTACAGCAGACGCTTCTGTGGGGAAAGTGACAGCAGGAAAGCTGGAAACAGGCGAGATAAGATCATGGGATCAGCTGGTGCTCTGTGGGCCCACAGCAATTCACAAACTTCTGCTCTCAGATTAATTCTCCTTCACCGTGGGATTCTTCTCAGCCAATAAAAGCGTGAGGTTAGGCCTCTTTAATTTCTCTCCTTCTGGCAAGAATGGCAAACTGGCCACTTAAATAGCTGCTCTCTCTAGTTCTTTGCATCCTTGGCTCGATGTGCAGTTCGATGGGTTCTCCTTTCGTTTCCCAACACTTGCTCGTGTTTTGGAAGGATGTCAGTAAAGAATTGTGCAGTGCTGAATATTTCTCGATGCCAGAGTGTGGGTGCAGGGATTTCTTTCCTGCATTGAGAGGCGACGCTGCCTTGCATACATTCTTGCTTGCTTTTAAGTTCTAAAGGAAAGGGGTTTGTGCCCATACGGAAGAGGTGTGGCTCTTGGGGGCTACCTGCATAGTTAAACTTAATGAGAGACATCAGACCTTGGGGCATCCATGCATAACCAACTCCCTACCACACTGGGTCATCAGCAGGATTTTTAAACCCAGGATTGTTCAGCACCACAGCACTGTCCTCCACTATGTGTGCTAAAGCAGCAATTTAGCTTCCTCATTCTATTAGTTGCTAGCAGTAGTAGGCAGTTATCCTCCAGTGGATCAGCTACTTTCGTGGCACACTACACATTCTTTGCCAATGTGTTTGCATATGCAATTTAATTTTGAGCACTTACCCCTTTTTTGCTCTTGGAAGGAATCCTTCCGGGAAAGGCAGCTGTGTGCAGTAGGTTTTAGCATGCACAGAATGAAGCTGTTTAGGAATGAGTATCTTTATGAATCACTAATACCCTTCCCCAAGATTTCTGGACTTATCTGTTTCCCTGAATAATTTTTGCTTTAAGGTTTTTTGCTTTCCTCCTTATCCCTCCATCGGTCTTGTTTCTACATAGGCTTTGCCCTAATTACAGCCAGAAGCCGATATTATCTGTTGATCACCTTTTACATTGTTGCACAGCATTGTTTGTGCACTTTTAGTGCAGTCTTTTTTAGCACCTCGCACGTGAGCTTTACTTGTGTTCCTGATTTGGATTAGCTTGAAAGGGACTTTGAATAAACATAACTACTCGGTGTTTGAATAAACATAACTACTTCGAACTAAAGAAACAAACAACCCCCAAAACAAATCCTGAAGAAGGAAGAAGAAAAATTATGGGAGCTGCTGTTGATAGGTTGTTACTTCGGTTTGAATGGCCAACCTGTTTCTTTTGTGACCTGCAGAACAGTGCTGGGGAGGAACCATCGATGGGTGCCAAAAGTATAAATGAGGGTGGAAAATGCTGAGTCTAGATCCTGTACCTGGTCTTGTGTTAAGCCCCTTAATTGAGGGAAGGGAAAGCAAGCGCACAATGGACCCATGTGGGACCCACATGCAACTCACAAGGGTCCAAGAGGACAAGGTATTTTACTGAGCAATAAAAACAAGTGTGGCCTTTAAGAGTAGCGAGTGTTGGTTGTTTCATCTAGCCTGGTGATTGGGACTATCTGTGAACTTCACTTCCTAGTTAATCAGGGCCATCCAACCTCGGTTAACTAATAATAAGGCGCTGTGCAAAATTAGCTCTCCGAGTTGGAACGGAGAGAAGAGTTGAAACCTCTGCCAGAAAAGGACCTAGGGGTTACAGTGGACGAGAAGATGGATATGAGTCAACCGTGTGCCCTTGTTGCCAAGAAGGCCAATGGTATTTTGGGATGTATAAGTAGGGGCATTGCCAGCAGATTGAGGGACGTGATTGTTCCCCTCTATTCAACACTGGTGAGGCCTCGTCTGGAGTACTGTGTCCAGTTTTGGGCCCCACACCACAAGAAGGATGTGGAAAAATTGGAAAGAGTCCAGCGGAGGGCAACAAAAATGATTAGGGGACTGGAACACATGAGTTATGAGGGGAGGCTGAGGGAACTGGGGATGTTTAGTCTGCGGAAGAGAAGAATGAGGGGGAATTTGATAGCTGCTTTCAACTACCTGAAAGGGAGTTCTAAAGAGAATGGCTCAAGACTGTTGTCAGTGGTAGCAGATGACAGAACGAGGAGTAGTGGTCTCAAGTTGCAGTGGGGGAGGTTTAGGTTGGATATTAGGAAAAACTTTTTCACTAGGAGGGTGGTGAAACACTGGAATGCGTTACCTAGGGTGGTGGTGAAATCTCCTTCCTTAGAGAAGGTCAGGCTTGACAAAGCCCTGGCTGGGATGATTTAATTGGGGATCGGTCCTGCTTTGAGCAGGGGGTTGGACTAGATGACCTCCTGAGGTCCCTTCCAACCCTGATATTCTATGATTCAGCCATTCACCCCCCACCCCAGCCCCGTGCATGCACCTTGCATGTGGTGGTAAAAGACTTAGGGGCCGAAAGGGTTAATATGCTTGGGGGCAAAAGCAGCAGATCAAACAGCTGAGCAAAAATGTAAGAGATAGGTGAAATGTGCTGCTCTGAACATGCCATGACCTGCAGCAATGCCCCGAGCAGCCAGCTGCAAACGGCTCCTCCATGCTGCACACTGGGCTGTATTCCGGTGTAAAGAACAGGGAGGCAACCTGCTGCCATGAGACGGTTCTAACCCAGTTTGGTCCCATGCCCTCAGGCAGGACTAAAAGCAGGCTGTCGCATAGTTAGGGTTTGAGCCTGTTCCCACTGAAGCCAATGGCAAGGCTCCCGCTGGCCACAGGATCAGACCCTTCGAGCGCAGTGCTCAGACAGGGTACGTTTTGTAGTTTAAATGGGCCTGGAGCGAGACAGAGGCTACATGAGGACAGACAAATGCTCTCTAGGCCCTATGCCAATCTTTGTCGGCTGAATCTCTGTAACCCTTGTTCATGCTAGTCTCAGAGCCCTGCCAACTACAACTGTGTTAATACACAGCGGCGTCTATCGTCATTTCCCTGTGCAGCACAGAGGAGGGTTTTCTCTTGTCTGGGGTGGGAGATGGACGAGGCTGTAACTAACGAGCAATACTCAGGACTTGCAGTGTGCACGACCCGCAGTTCAGAGGTGCTGAGCACCCTCACCATCCATTGTTGTTAGTGGGTGCTCAGAGCACTCTGCTCCTCTAATTGCCTGGCTAGGTACCGCCTGATGTTTTCCCGAATACTACAAAAGTGTCATTCAAACAAATGCCTCCCCCCGTCCCTGGCCCCCCAAGCCCTCCAGCAGCGGCCCCCAGACGCTGCAGTCTCACTGTTGCATGCCGCAGTGGCTGGATCATTGGCAGATAATACAGGTTCAATAGGGGCTGTTGGGTGTGGGATAGTACCCTGATTTTACACATGGAGAAAATGAGGCCCAGCGAGGTGAAATGAATTTGCCCATGCTGCCCCAGAGGCTTCGAACTCCAGGAGCTCCTGGCTCAGGCTCCTTGACTGTGGTGCCTCTAACTAAAGCGCAACCGACAGCACTCGAGAAAATGGCTCTGTCCACGCAGGGCTGAGACGGATCCTACGGCTACATCTGCAGAAGTGAACCTGCTCTCCCCGGGGCAGAGCCAGCATGCTGCAGTGGAGTTTCCGGCTGCTTTCCCCACGGCTATGACAGCAAGGAGCTGTTTCAAACATCCAGAGTGGGAGTGTGGCAGCGATCCAGTTTGAGCATGGGCTTGGCACGTGGGATTCTGACCTTTGTGGGGATGGGACCTTGGACAGAGGAAGGGAATGCCAAGCCATACGGGAGATATGCGAGAGCCATGCAGCCCCCAGGAAGGTCCAGAGGACAGACTGATTGTACTAGGCAATAAAGCGTATTATTGGGTGTTCCCTGTCACACCCACAGAGCAGCCAGCATGCATTATCTTTCCTCTTGGGGCGTCCCCTGCCCCACTTTGCCTATAAAAGCCTGAAATCAATGTTTTTTGCATTACACACCAAAATGAAGCTGACAAAGGAGAAGAGGGAGCTCTCTGACACCTGCAGGGGCAGGAAGGGGGTGAGTTTACCTGGCTCTTTCTGGATGATATGGTGAAGGCTGCAGAAAAGTTTCACTGGGGAAAATGGGGGTGGGGGGAGAGAAAAGGGAAGCTGGTTAGCAGTGCCAAAACTGATGCTCGTGGGCTATTATGGTTACAGACCTATTTGTGTGTGAGGCTGTGTTGTCTAGTGGTTAGGATGCCAGAATTGGGAGACCTCGGATCTTTCCAGGTTCTGCAACTGACCTGCTGTGTGAGCCCTTGGCAAGTCATGTTTGCCTCTCTGTGCCTCCCCTGCTTTGTCTGTCTTGTCTGTTTAGACAGTAAACGTTTAGGGGCAGGGACTGTCTCTCACTGTGCATTTGTACAGCACCAAGCACAGTGGAGCCCTGATCTCATTTGGAGCCTCTAGACACTGCTATAATACTGGAGATGGGGTGGGATGGGGCTGGCTCTTCCGCAGCTTAGTAGAGAAGACGGCGAATGGAACTGGGAGCCAAGAACTCCTAATCCCACCTCTGAAACTGACTCACTGCGTAACCTGGGGCAGTCACACAACCTCTCAGCATCTCTGATTTTGCATGGACGTGGCTGAGACATCTGAAGAAGCTGAGTGTGAACAGTAGGGAAACTAGGTTTCAGAGTAACAGCCGTGTTAGTCTGTATTCGCAAAAAGAAAAGGAGTACTTGTGGCACCTGAGAGACTCACCAATTTATTTGAGCATAAGCTTTCGTGAGCTACAGCTCACTTCATCGGATGCATACTGTGGAAAGTGTAGAAGATCTTTTTATATACACACAAAACATGAAAAAATACCTCCTCCCACCCCACTTTCCTGCTGGTAATAGCTTATCTAAAGTGACCGCTCTCCTTACAATGTGTATGATAATCAAGGTGGGCCATTTCCAGCACAAATCCAGGTTTTCTCACCCCCCCCCCCACACACACACAAACCCACTCTCCTGCTGGTAATAGCTTATCTAAAGTGACCGCTCTCCTTACAATGTGTATGATAATCAAGGTGGGCCATTTCCAGCACAAATCCAGGTTTTCTCACACCCTCCCCCCCCCCCCCCCCCCACACACAAACCCACTCTCCTGCTGGTAACAGCTTATCTAAAGTGACCACTCTCCTTACAATGTGTATGATAATCAAGGTGGGCCATTTCCAGCACAAATCCAAGGTTTAACAAGAACGTCTGGGGGGGGGTAGGAAAAAACAAGGGGAAATAGGTTACCTTGCATAATGACTTAGCCACTCCCAGTCTCTATTCAAGCCTAAGTTAATTGTATCAAATTTGCAAATGAATTCCAATTCAACAGTTTCTCGCTGGAGTCTGGATTTGAAGTTTTTTTGTTGTAATATAGCAACTTTCATGTCTGTAATTGCGTGACCAGAGAGATTGAAGTGTTCTCCGACTGGTTTATGAATGTTATAATTCTTGACATCTGATTTGTGTCCATTTATTCTTTTACGTAGAGACTGTCCAGTTTGACCAATGTACATGGCAGAGGGGCATTGCTGGCACATGATGGCATATATCACATTGGTGGATGTGCAGTTGAACGAGCCTCTGATAGTGTGGCTGATGTGATTAGGCCCTGTGATGGTGTCCCCTGAATAGATATGTGGGCACAGTTGGCAACGGGCTTTGTTGCAAGGATAGGTTCCTGGGTTAGTGGTTCTGTTGTGTGGTATGTGGTTGCTGGTGAGTATTTGCTTCAGGTTGGGGGGCTGTCTGTAGGCGAGGACTGGCCTGTCTCCCAAGATTTGTGAGAGTTTCGGGTCATCCTTCAGGATAGGTTGTAGATCCTTAATAATGCGTTGGAGGGGTTTTAGTTGGGGGCTGAAGGTGACGGCTAGTGGCGTTCTGTTATTTTCTTTGTTAGGCCTGTCCTGTAGTAGGTGACTTCTGGGAACTCTTCTGGCTCTATCAATCTGTTTCTTCACTTCCGCAGGTGGGTACTGTAGTTGTAAGAATGCTTGATAGAGATCTTGTAGGTGTTTGTGTCTGTCTGAGGGGTTGGAGCAAATGCTGTTGTATCGCAGAGCTTGGCTGTAGACGATGGATTGTGTGGTGTGGTCAGGGTGAAAGCTGGAGGCATGTAGGTAGGAATAACGGTCAGTAGGTTTCCAGTATAGGGTGGTGTTTATGTGACCATCGTTTATTAGCATTGTAGTGTCCAGGAAGTGGATCTCTTGTGTGGACTGGACCAGGCTGAGGTTGATGGTGGGATGGAAATTGTTGAAATCATGGTGGAATTCCTCAAGGGCTTCTTTTCCATGGGTCCAGATGATGAAGATGTCATCAATATAGCGCAAGTAGAGTAGGGGCGTTAGGGGACGAGAGCTGAGGAAGCGTTGTTCTAAGTCAGCCATAAAAATGTTGGCATACTGTGGGGCCATGCGGGTACCCATAGCAGTGCCGCTGATCTGAAGGTATACATTGTCCCCAAATGTGAAATAGTTATGGGTAAGGACAAAGTCACAAAGTTCAGCCACCAGGTCAGCCATCAGGGATAGTGTTCTTGACGGCTTGTAGTCCATCTTTGTGTGGAATGTTGGTGTAGAGGGCTTCTACATCCATAGTGGCCAGGATGGTGTTATCAGAAAGATCACCGATGGATTGTAGTTTCCTCAGGAAGTCAGCGGTGTCTCGATGGTAGCTGGGAGTGCTGGTAGCATAGGGCCTGAGGAGGGAGTCTACATAGCCAGACAATCCTGCTGTCAGGGTGCCAATGCCTGAGGTGATGGGGCGCCCAGGATTTCCAGGTTTATGGATCTTGGGTAGTAGATACAATATCCCAGGTTGGGGCTCCAGGGGTGTGTCTGTGCGGATTTGATCTTGTGCTTTTTCAGGGAGTTTCTTGAGCAAATGTAGTTTCTTTTGGTAACTCTCAGTGGGATCAGAGGGTAATGGCTTGTAGAAAGTGGTGTTGGAGAGCTGCCGAGCAGCCTCTTGTTCATATTCCGACCTATTCATGATGACAACAGCACCTCCTTTGTCAGCCTTTTGGATTATGATGTCAGAGTTGTTTCTGAGGCTGTGGATAGCATTGTGTTCCGCACGGCTGAGGTTATGGGGCAAGTGATGCTGCTTTTCCACAATTTCAGCCCGTGCACGTCGGCGGAAGCACTCTATGTAGAAGTCCAGTCTGCTGTTTCGACCTTCAGGAGGAGTCCACCTAGAATCCTTCTCTTTGTAGTGTTGGTAGGGAGGTCTTTGTGGATTAGTATGTTGTTCAGAGGTATGTTGGAAATATTCCTTGAGTCGGAGACGTCGAAAATAGGATTCTAGGTCACCACAGAACTGTATCATGTTCGTGGGGGTGGAGGGGCAGAAGGAGAGGCCCCGAGATAGGACAGCTGCTTCTGCTGGGCTGAGAGTATAGTTGGATAGGTTAACAATATTGCTGGGTGGGTTGAGGGAACCATTGCTGTGGCCCCTTGTGGCATGTAGTAGTTTAGAAAGTTTAGTGTCTTTTTTCTTTTGTAGAGAAGCAAACTACTGGCTACTCCGGAGAAATCCTCCAGTTAGAGAGGCTGAACAAGTTCTCTGCGCTAGAATAGATGGGCTGAGGCTCTGAGCCATTAAGCCTAATGGTAGCTGGAGAAAACAACCTATGGCTGAATGGAAATATGATTTGATTGCCCACAGGAAACAACAGAGTGATTTAGAGAGCTCTAAAAGGCAGCACTGTTTGCAGCACAGCTGGCTCCAGCTTGAGAAGTCAGGAGCAACCAGGAATACTTTGGACTGTTGTTAGTGGCTGGTGTCTCCAAGAGCTCTGTGCCCACGAACAACGTTCATGTTCAGGCCCTGCACAAGCCAGTTATTTCTCCCCTCTGTGCAACTGCAAAGCCCGGCTCCTACAGGGCACGATTTGACGTCCGTGGAAAGGTTCCAAATGAGTTTAACAGCAGCTGGAATGGGGCCCATAAGCAGCTTGATTCGGAAATGCTGATGGCAGAACCACCATGAGAAAGAAAATAGAGCAACTGCGAGGGGAAGAGATGTTTATTCATTCTGCAAAATTTTATGATCTTTATTTTGGCTATTGGCATCTATTTGACTTCAACGACCAGCTGTAGCTCACGAAAGCTCATGCTCAAATAAATTGGTTAGTCTCTACGGTGCCACAAGTACTCCTTTTCTTTTTGCGAATACAGACTAACACGGCTGTTCCTCTGAAACTAGAGAAAGAGTGTTTGCATTGAAGCTTCAAATAAGGGAAAAATCAAGCAGAATAAAGTGAGTTGTAGTGTAAACAATCTATCAGACGTTCCTTTTACACTAAAAAGAAACACAAGGCCAGGAGCCCAATTTTTTTACTGTCTTTTGCTTTAATGAATGTCCTGCATTTTTTATATATATGCGCACACAAAGAGAAACACCCCAATGCTATTTCCACCCATGTAACTGCTCTTCTTTCTTGCAGAAAATGACACTTCTGCTCGCAGGTGTAACGCTGGTGTCCACCTTTGGATCATCTTTCCAGTATGGTTACAATGTCTCCGTGATCAACGCTCCAGCTGTGGTAGGTTGAGTTGGGGTGCAGGAAACAGCCTAGAAAGTGCGGGGGATGGGGGCCACAAACAAGTGGCAGACTAGTAACAGTGGAGTGTGCGCGCATGCACATTTATATGCAGAGTCTAGGCTTTCTGAACTCCCTCTGCCTTGGGATTGCTGTGGTGCCAAGAAAAAAGAACAGGAGGACTTGTGGCACCTTAGAGACTAACGAATTTATTTGAGCATGAGCTTTCGTGGGCTACAGCTCACTTCATCGGATGCATGCAGTGGAAAATACAGTAGGGGGATTTTATATACACAGAGAACATGAAACAATGGGTGTTACCATACACACTATAACGAGAGTGATCAGTTAAGGTGATCTATTACCAGCAGGAGAGAAGAAAAACCTTTTGTAGTGATAATCAAGATGGGCCATTTCCAGCAGCTGACAAGAACGTGTGAGGAACAGTAGGGGGGAAAAATAAACCTGGGGAAATAGTTTTACTTTGTGTAATGACACATCCACTCCCAGTCTTTATTCAAGCCTAATTTAATGGTGTCCAGTTTGCAAATTAATTGTAATTCAGCAGTCTCTCGTTGGAGTCTCGTGTCTGAAGTTTTTTTGTTGTAATATTGCCACTTGTAGGTCTGTAAAGTGACCAAAGAGATTGAACTGTTCTCCGACTGGTTTTTGAATGTTATAATTCTTGACGTCTGATTTGTGTCCATTTATTCTTTTACTTAGAGACTGTCCGGTTTGGCCAATGTACATGGCAGAGGGGCATTGCTGGCACATGATGGCATATATCACATTGGTGCCAAGGAATCCCCCAAGGGAGAAGAAGTGCCCTAACTGTTTCCTCTCTCTGTCTCGTGTGTTCTTAGCATGCAGTGATCGTGGTGTGTAGGCATGAAATATAACTTCGGGATACCACTGAATTTGGCTCTGTTCTTTTCATCCTAGGCTTTGCTTGCTAACACTTGATTCCTGCCCCTCTTCCTTTCTGAATGTATTTTTCTTGATGCCCTTTCCTTTCGAAACCTCTTAACCCACTATATGAATTCTAACTCTACAAGCCATCTGGCTAGTGTGGAATTCTTCCTGTGCACATACACTGGACAGCTGTAGAGATGGAAAGAACATAATGAAGCACAGTCCTGAAATCCTTAATCAGGATTAAGCTGAGAGGGCTGGACCACGGGTAAGATCCCATCCTGGGCTTCTGGCATCCATCTTTTGGCATTTCTCTACAAAACTAGTTGTCCCATAACACTGTATTATGGCTATCCTTGTCTTCATGAACAAGTAGACTTTGTTCCCAAGGACTGAAATTTTGGATCCCTCTGTGACCCCAACTTCCTTTTTCCTCCAAATCTACCAGTCACCATCCTCAAGTGTACTGCCAAAATTCATCTTCAGGTGGACCCTCCCTCTGCTCTGTGTGCTAACATACCCACTTCCTGGCTTGACTATTGCACTTCCTCCTTTTATGATCTTCCTAAAATCCTGCTTTCTAAAGCCAAGTTCAGCCTCACTGAGGAATGGGACCTTTATCTCCCCCAGATCGTTTGCTGGTCTCCTATTTATCTATGCATGTCTTCCCTGTGATCCTGCCCGGGTAGCACTTATCATGGGATGCCAGGGTTACATTTCTCTGTGCCCTGTCTCTTTAAGGCTGTGCCCTTTCTCCGTATAAGTGTGTCTACACTGCACTGGGAGGTGTAATTCCAGCTCCCGCAGGCATATCCACACTAGCTCTGACTGAGGTTGCACACTAAAAACAACGGCCTAATCACAACAGGACAAACAGTGGGAGGGGCTAGCCATGCAGCTACAATCCCATCTGAGACCCTAGGTACATACTTGGCCTGGTAGCCCCTCCCACCACTCTACTGTAGGTTTCTTTAACCTTCTGTTGTATTTTTCTTAAAACAAATCTTCCTCTTTCACCAAGAAATTGTTCAATGGAGTTTTACACTGTTTGGTCCCCTGCTGCTTTTATAACCTGAATAACCGTGTTTCAGTCATTTTCCCCCCTGCCAAGCCTATTAAGTCTGTTTTTTGTATCTTTTCTAGTTCATGCAAGAGTTTTACAATCAAACCTACTTTGATAGGAAGGGCATCCCAATGGAGAGTAGCTTCCAAATGCTGCTCTGGTCTCTCACGGTGTCTATGTTCCCACTCGGAGGCTTCTTTGGGTCCCTTATGGTCGGCCCTCTGGTGAACCAATGTGGCAGGTGGGTGACAGAGGCACCATAAGATGGACGGTCTGTAGTCCATTCAGAAGCCATTTGTTGTGGTTTGAATCAAGGTCTTCTCATGAGTCCATCTGATTCAGTATCCTACCATAGCCACCCTCCACATTATGCAGCCGGACCAATGTTTGCCACTTGGATCAGAGACGAATCCACCCTCCCACATCTGCAGAACAACCCATCTGGCTGCACTGTGGACGGATTGGACATGACCATACTGCAGGCACGATACTGAGCCAGATGTATCATTTGCTATGCCAAGGCCTATAGTCTTTACACTCTTAGCCCCTATCTTATTATTAATTTTTAAGCAGCTTAGTTTATCTAAGGCACTTTTGGTTCGATCCCATTGTAGCTTTTTATGTCTCTGGTGAGCCCTTCCCCACTGTTCTCGTCTCAGCTACTTGCTTTCCTGTGTTAAATGCAGGAAAAATCCTCCAGAGGAGAGCGAGGATAGTTGAGAGGGAGGACAAGCTTGTGGTTGAAGTACTGGACTGGGTTTAGTTCCTAGTTCTGCCACAGGCATCCTGAGCAACCTTGGATAAGACACTTAACCTCTTTGTGCCTTAGTTCCCTACCTGCGAAGTGGGATAATATTTCCTTTGTCTGTCACGCCTATCTAAATTCTAAACTCTTTGGGGCTGCAGTTGTGTCCGGCTATGTGTTTGTACAGCACCTAGTGCACCTGAGCCCCATCTCAGTTGGGGCCTTTAGGCAATACGACAGTACAAATAATGATGATGATAAGCCAGAACTGTCACCCTCTCGATCTCTCCGTAGAAAGGGCACTTTGCTGATAAATAACATCTTCTCCATTGTCCCCGCCATTCTCATGGGAACCTCCAAGGTGGCAAAGACCTTTGAGGTGATCATCCTCTCACGAATCATCGTGGGAATATGTGCAGGTGAGTGAAAGGCGGTACGCAGGGGTAGGACAAAGGGGTAGGATTTTCTGGGCCAGGTTGGAGCGTGTGTCATAGCGGGTTGGTTTGCGAGGAGTATATTGTAGGGACAGTACCTGCTGCAGTGCAATGCAGTGTCTCCATGTCGGTCTCAGTCTGTGCTGTGCGCAGAGTGGGTGTGGTTCCCGGTAAACGAAGGAGACCAGGCTGGAACTTGAGCTCCATGGAAGTCTGTAAATGTAGTTGTTTTCTTTAATAAATGTAAACTGTTTAAGAAAGACTGTGGTACCATATGTCATGACAGCCGCGGCCTTGCTGGTGATGACTCACTTCTCAGATATTTTGGGCAAAAGTTTATATTACCTGGTTCTTAAAACTCTAACCCCAAGCAGAACTCTTCCAAGCTAAGTCAGTAGAGGTGTGGCCAGCTCCATAAATCCATCCCAGGAATTAGCTTTATCTACCACAGGTAGAAAATTGGCACTGCTGTCTGATAGGTTCAGGGCCCTTGGAATCTGTTATACCTACATGGACTACAGAAGAACGGAGTGGTTCAAGATGTGTGGGTGGGGGATTCTGTCTGACCCGGTCTACCTATTCTACAGCACGTCATATGTTGGCAGCATTATGTAAGTAATGATCCTCCAGATCTGATTAGGATCAATTCACTGACTCTAATCCAATGACACCTAAACTCTACTCTGAAGTTTACTAGGGGATCTGCATGTCCCATAAAGATGTAACAGGTAAACAGGAGGGTCTGGGTATAAGGCCAGATTTATCCCCAGTGTAAACCTATTGAAGATGGTGAGTTTACAGTGAAAATGATTCTAACCCAGTGTTTTAACTGACTCATGTAACCCTGGCTGCAGTTATTAGCACTGGCTCTCAACAGCCGTAGAGCTGTAGCCTCTCCAAGCTTCCTCTTATTTATAACTCAGGGGCATAAGAGGAGAATCTGGACTTGGTTCTGCACCCACTTGTCTTGGCATGAATTTACGGGGACTGCCCTTGGGGAGGAAAGGTCCTGCACCAACCGCGGGGCCCTGCCTGCCCTGGGCTCTGTAATAACATTTCCAATCTTTGGTGGCAGCAGTAGTAAAAGCCCTGTTGTAGGCAGGGCTCCAGGCTGCTGATGGTGTCTTAGGCACTCTGATTAGCGCAGGTCTAGATGATAAGGCAGCTATCATCACCCAGCCCTTGCTAGCCCTGCTACCACAAGTGGAGCTGCACCACTTCGCAATGGTGGGAAAGTCTCGTGTACTCACCCAACTCCAGAAGCAGGGGATTTCATCACAAGAGGCACATTGGGCGACAATTGGCAACGCTGATAGGTCTCAGAGTGCTACATTCCCAAGTAACCGTGTGCTCTCTGTGTAACAATATCTGCTCCAGTCGGCCTCTGACAAAATACATCCCAAGCCATGAGGGCTCACTCCAAAACTTTTCAGGGCAATTAGTTGATCAGGAGGCTTATAAAGGAGGGAAAGGGTCTCTCTCTCTTACAGACCATATGAACAGCCTCATTTGGGTGCTTAGTACTTGTGACAACTTGCTCCTCTGGAAGTGGAAGAGGAAACTGCTGTTTCCACTAGACTTGTTTTGAAAGCCCAAAGCAGAAGCTGGGTTTGTTCAGAGCAGGGGCAGCAGGCTGAATGGCTCAGGTCATATTGAGAATCACTTGGCTACCCCCTGCTGGCGGTTTTTGCCCTGCTGGGAGAAAGATGCTTCCTTCGAGAAATTGGCTGCATCAGAGCCCTGAGCCTTTTGTCAGCAGTGGTTGGGGTCTTCAGCTGGCTTAGGCAGTGCTGTGCTATTGAGTTGCTGAGGGGGCCCAAACCAAAACTGTCATCCCAAAACTTGGGACCCAAATTTTTCAGCTTGAGCCCATTCTGTCATTTTGTTTTAAATGCTCCAAACTCCTCAGCTTAATTAAAAACTTCATTTTTAGCTGGATCTCTTCTAGCTATAACCCTGTCAGGAGAGACCTGGTTACAATCAGGCTTAAAGCTGTGGTGTAGACAAGACCTAACTGTGTCCCTGTAATGGGGTTGAAACCTTGGGCAGTTCAGAATCCTAACCCCATTATGGGCACGTGATTAGTCCTATGATGCTAACCCATGCTGTAACCAGGTACCCTGACTTGGCCCAAGCCCTAGTATAGATGGGGCCTCAGAGCTTAGACAAACAGCCCATTTCTGTGTCCGTGAATTGGGTGCCATGGGCAGGGGTTGGCCCTGGAGAGCGACCGCCTTGTCTATCCACGGAATGGATACAGTGTGGGAAGCAACAGTGCAAGTGTCCCTGCCTTGGAATACCAGCTGCCAGGGCAAGAGGGAAATTCGAGCTCATTGCTAGAATGGTCCCATTCGACCTTTGGCCTTTCTACTGAGGCTGACCAATAAAGATGCCAGCTGAGGTGATGGACTTTGTACCATGGACACCTTCAGACTAGGAATGGAGGTGATGCCACCTACTCTTTTATTCTAAGCTCAGATGGAGGGAGAAGAATGTCCTTGGCTCCCTTCACACAGGCCAAAGTGGTTATCCGGTGGCAATAAGCTTTCAGCCACTGCCAGCCTCGGCTAGCTGTGAACCTGGGATATAGCAGCGGAAAGCAAGCTCCAGGCTCCAGTGCCATCCAGCCCCTTGTCACAAGGAGGTCAGCTGTTGTCATCAGAAAAAATACCTTGGTCAAGCCCCTGAACGTCCATGTGTTACAGCGACCGTTCACATCCCAGAGCAGGACTAATCTCTCTCTCTCTTCACCTAGGCCTGTCCTCCAATGTTGTTCCCATGTACCTGGGAGAGATGTCCCCCAAAAACCTGAGAGGTGCGGTCGGGGTGATGCCCCAGCTCTTCATCACCATTGGCATCCTTGTAGCTCAGATCCTTGGTCTTACTAACATCCTTGGAACCCTTGAAGGTAAAGCCACAGTCTGAGGAGGAGGGTCTCTGACTGCGCCTCAGTGGATGAGCTCTCTCACTGGGCACCTTGTTATCTGTTTGTCTGTTGCAGGCTGGCCAGTATTATTAGGGCTAACTGGGATCCCTGCAGTTGTGGAACTCTTCCTGTTGCCCTTCTTTCCTGAGAGTCCCAGGTACCTACTGATACAGAAGGGCAATGAAGAACAAGCCAGGCAAGGTACAGCCACGGCTGCTTAGCACTGCTAGCAAGAGAAGTAGGAGAAGGACAAGGGGCATGGATTTGAAACTAGGTCTCCATTCATAAACAAACTAGGGAAATGCAACTTAGGTGGAGCTACTATAAGGTGGGTGCAGAACTGGTTGGAAAACCATTCCCAGAGAGTAGTTCTTAGTGGTTTACAGTCAAACTGGAAGGGCATAATGAGTGGGTCCCACAGGAATGGGTCAGGTGGTTCTGTTCCATATCTTCATCAATGATTTAGATAATGACAGAGAGAGGACGCTTTTATAGTGTTTGTGGATGATACCAAGCTGGGAGGGGCTGCAAGAGCTTTGGATTAAAATTCACAATGATCTGGACAAACTGGAGAAATGCTCTGAAGTAAAAAGGATGAAATTCAATAAGGACAAATACAAAATACTCTACTTAGGAAGGAACAGTCAATTGCACACATACAAAATGGGAAATGTCTGCCTGGGAAGGAGTATGGGGGAAAGGGATCTGGGGGTCATGGTGGATCACAAGCTAAATATGAGTCAACAGTGTAACACTGTAGCAAAAAAAAAAAAACATCATTCTGGGATGAATTAGCAGTAGCGTTATAAGCAAGACACGAGAAGCAATTCTTCCGCTCTACTCCATGCTGATAAGGCCTCAGCTGGAAAATTGCATCCAGTTCTGGGTGCCACATTTCAGGAAAGAGGTGGACAAATTGGAAAAAGTCCAGAGAAGAAAAACAAAAATGATTAAAGGTCTAGAAAACATGGCCTATGAGGGAAGATTGAAAAAATTTTGGTTTATTTAGTCTGGAGAAGAGAAGACTGTGGGGAGACATGATACCAGTTGACAAGTACATGAAGGGTTGTTTCAAGGAGGAAGGAAAAATTGTTCTCGTTAATCTCTGAAGATAGGGTAAGAAGTAATGGGCTTAAATTGCAGCAATGGAGGTTTAGGTTGGACGTTAGGAAAAACTTCCTAACAGTCAGGGTAGTTAAGCACTGGAATAAATTGCCCAGGGAGGTTGTGGAATCTCCGTCACTGGGGATTTTTAAGAGCAGATTAGACAAACACCTGTCAGGTATGGTCTAGATAATACTTAGTCCTGCCCTGAGTGCAGGGGACTGGACTAGAAGATCTCTCGAGGTCCCTGCCAGTCCTTCACTTCTATGATTCCCTGATATATGGGAATATGCTATGGGGAAACATCCTGAACCAAAAGTCAGGTCAGGCTGAATTAAGCTCCTGGTGCGACCCTTTTATACCTGGCAAACAGTAGGTCATTTATGCTTCCCTGTACAGCAAGTACATATAACTCCAGTTTTACGCGATAGGGCTGAAATGGGAACAGAGAGAGGATAACGGATTTGCCGAGAGTAAGAAAAATGGTCAGTGGCAGAGTCAGGAGTTCCGGCTCCCCCCAGTTCCTTGCTCTCACCACAGGAACACAAACTACTTAACTCTGATGGCAAGAAGATGGGTTGGAGCTCTCAGAACTCTCGTTAGAAACCTGAGCCTCATAATCAAGTGCAGGATAGAAGTGCTTTTTTGTGAGGGGAACTCTGGTCCCCTTCTCATTGTTCCTTTGTTGGCTCATATGGACGAAGGACCCCGTGGCCCTCTGGTCCCCCCTCCAGTCCTATGGCTGTTGCTGGTTGCTTTATGTTTCCCACAGTGCAGAAGTGGCCAAGACTGCCCTGCTGCTCCTGGGGTATCTCAGTTCCCCCTCTAGTTTCTGTAACTCCAGCCTCCTCCCCCGAGCTGAGATTACATGGAAACCCAACTTCCCCTTCCCTCCTCCCATCCAGCTCTGAAGAGGCTGAGAGGCTGGGATGACGTGGATGATGAGATCGAAGAGATGCGTCAGGAAGACCAGTCAGAAAAGTTGGAAGGTCGTCTGTCCGTGTTCAACCTCTGCACCTTCCAGGCCCTGCGGTGGCAGCTCATCTCCATCATTGTCATGATGATGGGCCAGCAGCTTTCTGGAGTTAATGCGGTAGGTGAGAGAACACCCAGGAAGATCGTCAGGTGGACTAGGAGAGGACCTGAGTTCTTAGGCAAGAGTGGCACCGCAGTGTTGACACAGATACTAGAACCCATTCCAGATGGGCACAAAACCCCAGTCTAGACCTTGGGATATGAGATTGGTCCCATGCCACGAAGTCTGGATCAGCATCTGACTGTTTAGGAGGGTTCTGCCCAGGGGTCTCAGGTTTGGAAGTTTATGGAGAAAGAAACCAGCCACAACAGCTGGAGCCAGATGTGGCTGTCTCCAAAGTTTGGGAGAGTTCAGATCTTGGATTTGTGTTTGGCTGCTTTTACAGCCTGGAGTTGCCCAAGTCAGAGCCTCCCCTTCCCCCCATCTATGAATGGCTAAGTATAACCGCAGGTATGGTTTGATTGCAGATATTCTACTATACAGACAAAATCTTTGAGTCTGCAGGTGTGAATAAAAACGACGTGCAGTATGTCACCGTGGGGATAGGTGCAGTCAATGTGTTCATGACTTGTGTAGCGGTAAGTTTCTCCCACTGCCCTACAGGTTCTAATTCCCCCACTGCCCACTTTTAATCCCCCCATGGCCCACCTCTCTGGCCCCTTTATACCATTACCACAACTGCCCCTTCCCACATTTAGAGGAAAAGTCCCCTAGTGCTCAAGTCATACTAAACAGAGAGGCAAATTGTTTCCTTAAACTCATGCCATGTAATAGTGGGCATATGCTGGGTTACACCAATGCATGCCATTTCAACTTTCTTTGGGGAAATGGCAGGATCTACTTAGCTTCCTCACCAGGTCTTTTCTTGCTGCTCATGCTAGTGCACTCTCTGTCCTTGCAGCTGCTGTGTTACTGTAACGGATGGGTATAATGGCATCTCTGCCCTGGGAGATTGTGGATATGGTTCCATGGCCTTGGAGGCAACAGGCCTGCCCATGTGTCTATGAATCACTGATTGCTAGTGACACCCCTGATGCTAGGGTGGAGAAAAAATTCTTCAACTCAGACAGGTGATTGGGCTCTGAGAATGCATAGGCAGCCATGAGAAAAGAAAGGTGTCTTTTTTAACTGGTGCAACGAATAGGGCCTGGTACCAGGAGACCTGCGGTTCTATTCTCAGGTCTGCAAGAGGCTCACTGTGTGACTTTGAGCAAATCACTTGACTGCTCTGTGCCTCAGTTTTCCCTATCTGTGAAACACTGGTAATGATGCTTATCCACCCTTGTGAAGTGCTTTGACATCTGTGGATGAAGAGCACAGTATAAATGCTGCAGTGCCCCTCATGGGAGAGAAGAGACAGGACTTGGCTGGAATCCTTCTTGAGGCTGCTGGACCCCAGCGCATCTTGTGGTTCTGTCTGCCTCGGACTGACTAGCACAGCTTGGTCTGTCCAGTGTCAGTGCACAGGGTCTCCCTAAATCCTGGCCTGGATTAGGCAGTCATGGTAGGGACTGCTGACTGCCCTACAAGTGTGCTAAGCATCTGCAGAGGGGGTTCCCCCAGCTTTCACGGTTTCTATTTTATTTCCAATCCACATGTTACTGGTGATACTGAACTTTCCCTAATGGAACAGCCTCTTGGAATGTACAAAATATAAACTTCTCTATATGTTTGTTTGGTGTTGGTGTTTTGTTTTGTTTTTGTTGTGATTCTTTTTTTGGACCCATCCTCTAGAATTTGCTGGACAATTATCCCCCTGCTGTTGACTTCCCACAGGCTTTTATAAAAAACCCTATAGCAAGGGGATCTTGTTCTCTATTAAATTCTAGAGGCTTTTAGAGTAATTCCTGGAGAACCCTAGGACACTTGTATAGAACCCTGTTGGCTTCCTTGTCCTTAAATTCTAGTGGACTCTTCCCTGCAGAACTGCAAAGCGCTAGGTTCCTCAGAACACCCTGCCCCTAACAGCTGACAGCCCCCTGCCCACTTTCTCCTCTCAGGACAAAGAATGCTGGGTTCCCTTGGTGCCCCCTTTCTCACCCTCTTGTGTTGTGTCCCTCAGGTTTTCATCATTGAGTCCCTGGGGAGGAGACTTCTGCTTCTCGCTGGCTTTGGGATCTGCTGTATATCTTGTGCTATATTAACAATGGCCCTCAAACTCCAGGTATGTACCCGGATGGCTTAGGTGATAGTGTCTGTCTGTCTGTGGACCCTCTAGGGGATGTGGGCAGGGTCACTCTTTCCAGAGCTAACCGGGAGAATACGCAAGGCCTCCCAGCACAAACCACAGTGGGAAGCAGCAACCCTGCTGGGAAAGAGCAGGACTTCCATTAATTACATGGTTGGGTTAGCAGTGAGTGCACTCAGAGCTGAATTTGGTTGCTTCTCCCTTCCTCCCTCTAAGTTCTTCTGACCGTTGCCCACGGTGTGCATCTCTGGTAGTGCCCCTTGGGTCTGCTTATAGGAAGTGAGGTTCCAGCTGAAGCTGTAAACTTAGGCCAGTTAGTGACGCTGTCTGACCCATCCCCTTCACGATCTCAGCCAGACACCCTGGGGTATACAGCGTCTCACAGTCTGCTTGCAAACGGCGCCTTGACTTTGCTGGCCACTTGAGTAGAGAACTGACTGTAATTCAGTGATTGAATTCCCCACAGGCCACTGTCTCCTGGATGCAGTACCTCAGCATAGCCTGCGTCATCGCCTATATCATTGGACATGCTATCGGAGCTAGTAAGTGTGCACGGGATGGTAAAACAAAGACATAAACTTTAAACAGCAACTTGGGCTGATGCAGAGATGAGCTGGAGTGTTTCTGCTTGGCCGTGTGACTTCGCAGTAACGATACAGATCTGATTGTTACCAGCTAGGCTGCACGCATGGTCCAGGGACCAGGGCTTTCTTCCCCAGACACGCAGGCCCCTTCTCATGCCAGCTAAAGGAGGATCTCTGGGGGGGGTGTGAGTGTATCGGTAAGAGAAGGACGTGATCTTTTATTTTCAAGAGGCTCCATAAAGACACAGTCTTACTGGTGTCTGAGACATGCCCAATAAATTTTGGAGCAAAACCCTCCTTGGAGGGTGAGTCACACCAGTTTAATCTGAATGGTGCTTTCTTGCATTTATATGCTCCACGTGGAGCAAAAGGCAGCTGCCCCCTAAGAGCCAAATTCTGACCTGGCTGTGCCATGAAGTGGGTGGGTGCAGCATGTGCATAGTCGTGGAGGCTTTGTCCTGGATCTGCACCTCCTGACAGATGTGCTGCCCCACTACAGCAGAGGTGCTCTGCATTCGTTCGCAGGAGGAGCCCTGCGGAGCGATTCCCAACACTGCAGTATACTGTCTCTTAAGCTCCTGCAAGGGTTTCGCTGGCTAGTGGAAACTGCCATCCCCCCGACCCTTTCCTCATCTATGTGCATAGCGGGACTGGCTCAGGAATGCCGGCTGCAGACAGGAGACTCTCAGTGCAGAGTGACCGAGTTTCTGCAGCCGTGTGTTTGTGAGTGAGCTGCGAGATCTTTTCTTCCCTCTGTCTAACTTATCTCTGCCTTGGCTGTAAACACTTAGAATCATAGAATCATAGAATATCAGGGTTGGAAGGGACCTCAGGAGGTCATCTAGTCCAACCCCCTGCTCAAAGCAGGACCAATCCCCAATTAAATCATCCCAGCCAGGGCTTTGTCAAGCCTGACCTTAAAAACTTCTAAGGAAGGAGATTCTACCACCTCCCTAGGTAACGCATTCCAGTGTTTCACCACCCTCCTAGTGAAAAAGTTTTTCCTAATATCCAACCTAAATCTCCCCCACTGCAACTTGAGACCATTACTCCTTGTCCTGTCCTCTTCTACCACTGAGAATAGTCTAGAACCATCCTCTCTGGAACCACCTCTCAGGTAGTTGAAAGCAGCTATCAAATCCCCCCTCATTCTTCTCTTCCGCAGACTAAACAATCCCAGTTCCCTCAGCCTCTCCTCATAAGTCATGTGTTCCAGACCCCTAATCATTTTTGTTGCCCTTTGCTGGACTCTCTCCAATTTATCCACATCCTTCTTGTAGTGTGAGGCCCAAAACTGGACACAGTACTCCAGATGAGGCCTCACCAATGTCGAATAGAGGGGAACGATCACGTCCCTCGATCTGCTGGCAATGCCCCTACTTATACATCCCAAAATGCCATTGGCCTTCTTGGCAACAAGGGCACACTGCTGACTCATATCCAGCTTCTCGTCCACTGTCACCCCTAGGTCCTTTTCCGCAGAACTGCTGCCTAGCCATTCGGTCCCTAGTCTGTAGCTGTGCATTGGGGTTCTTCCGTTCTAAGTGCAGGACCCTGCACTTATCCTTATTGAACCTCATCAGATTTCTTTTGGCCCAATCCTCCAATTTGTCTAGGTCCCTCTGTATTCTATCCCTGCCCTCCAGCGTATCTACCACTCCTCCCAGTTTAGTATCATCTGCAAATTTGCTGAGAGTGCAATCCACACCATCCTCCAGATCATTTATGAAGATATTGAACAAAACCGGCCCCAGGACCGACCCCTGGGGCACTCCACTTGACACCGGCTGCCAACTAGACATGGAGCCATTGATCACTACCCGTTGAGCCCGACAATCTAGCCAACTTTCTACCCACCTTATAGTGCATTCATCCAGCCCATACTTCTTTAACTTGCTGACAAGTTACTAGCTTCTCAGCCAGGGAATGATTGCCCAGCCCTTTCCCCATTTTCTTTTGATCCGGATGTAATTTGATAAATCAATGGGTTATTCAGGGCTGCACGGGGCAGGGGAGGAGAGGGAGCAAAATCTGAAACTGAGGCCACTCCTCCTCCCCTGAAACTTAGGCTGCAGGTGGGTCAGGAGCTGGAGAATGAGCCTGGCCCACACTCACCTTGCAGCAGCGGCTCCTGGGCCCAGCTCCCCGCTCCAGGCATTCCGGCCTAGCACGCAAAGTTGCAGGGCCACTCCGGTTTGTCCCAGCCGCCCCTCTGATGGGACAGGGAGATGGCCAGGCCAAGTCTGAGTGAGTGGGGTTGTGACCCGGTGGACTGGCTCAGCACCCTCAGCAGCTGGGCCAAACCAGATTGGAGCCACCCCATGCGCCACATCACAAACACCTTCAAATTCCACAGGTTTGGGGGTCCTCTCAAACAGAGGGGCTGGGGAAAACTGCCCCTTTTGCCTCCCTCTGCCAATTATGGGTGGCAGTGGGCTTCTTATCTTAGATTGCCATTCAGGGAGCTTTGCCCCTCCTGCCCCAACCAGGAATTTCCCCAATGGTCAGTTTCTTTCGCAGAGACAGCAGCAACTGTTACGACAGCCAGCTGTCTTCAAGGAAGCCAGTTTGCCCCATCAGAGATCTCCGGTGCGATTGCTGTGTGTGTTGACATGCTTGAGCACTGCTGAAAACAGCAGTATCGATGTGGCAGCCTGGCTATGCATATAGGGACTTTCTCAAGGGAGAGGCAGGTTGTTGCTGGATACCAGTTTGAGATTGACATAGGCACATGGTGACGTGTTGGAAGAAGTCAGGCCTTCTGGGGAAGGGAGGGTCCTTAGGTAAGATAGATATGAGAGCAGGCTCTTTCTTGTTTTAAAATCCTTTTCATCTTCCTCGGTGTACCCACTGTGAGGACAAACAGTTTGGTTTAAGAAGGCTGTTGGATCACTGGATAACACGGGTTACAGGCTCCCAGAGCTCTGTCACACCTGCTGGGTAGGCTCCGTGGATACGCAGGGGGCTGTAATCCAGGGCCCAGTCTAGCAGTGGGAGAATTGCGGAATTCCGCCCCAGGTAAGGTAAAGGCAAGAGGCCTGACAGCTGAGGGGTGCGCTCAGAGACGAGCGGGGGACAGAGGTGCAGCTAGCCTCAGGACCACGACAATGGCTAGTTACAGTCATTCCATTCTGCTTTTTCCATCTCTTCCTGTAGTTAGTTTATCCAGGGACTTGTAACCACGAGTGCCTTAGAAACCATCGCCTTCTATTGTACATTCAGTCCCGCGCCTTCTAAGGATTTGGGCGAGGGAAATGCCTCTTAAAATGTTCAGACTCTTCTTTCTCTTCAAGGTCCAATCCCCTCTGTGATGATAACTGAAATGTTCCTGCAGTCATCCCGGCCTGCGGCCTTCATGGTGGGTGGATCTGTGCATTGGCTCTGCAACTTTACGGTTGGGCTCGTCTTCCTTTACATGGTGGTGAGTGCGGAGCGATCTCCAGAGTCTCACGGGGGTTTGTCACCTGAGGTTAGAAGCACCCTCCTGCCAGGGGGGGGATGGTCTTAAAGGGGAACACTGGCCCTTTTTTACTCTTAACACTTCAAAGTCCCCAGTTAGTCCCAGAATGCATGGGTGGAGGATTAACTATAAAGGGCCAGAACCTCATCTGATGTAAATCAGCATTGCTTTATTGACTTCAATGTCTGCTGAGGATCTGGCCCCCAGTATATCTTCGCTCCTCTTTCGAGCCCTTGCCTAGTGCTGAATTGAAAGTTTACAAAAATCTTCCAGAGGATTCCGTGGTGGGGAGTAGATGATTCAAGGGAAATTAAAGATATTTATAGTCTTTCACCTCTGGGTCACTGGTTCAAAGCCAGCCCAAGTCAGCAGTGACCCAAGCTATTGATATCTGACAACCTCTACCACCTCAGAACTGGGGGTATTTTCCACTCGCTTTGCATGGATATGAAATGTGGATAGATAAAACTCTCAGCCCCACTTCTTCCCCCCTACTTGCTGGCAGTCTCAGGAGAAATGGGGGAGAGATTTCTTGAGCATTTTAAGGTGCTCAGGTATCAAAGTGGCAAGTACGATGTAAATGCTTAGCCAGACAGGATTAACAGCCTATTCTGATGCTTACTGAAGCCAACAGAAAGACTCCCACTGACTTCAGTGAGCATTGGATTGGGCCCAGAATGGGCCATGGAGATGAAACTTCTCCCTGTGAGAAATGATCCCTCTAGCTCAGTAAGGACGTGCATTGGCATGACTGTGTGGGCAGGTTGTACCGCGATGGTGCCCGACCTGCCCTGCCTTGTCTCTTCTTTCACATCTGTGCAAAGTGGGCGTAAAACCACTACCACCTTAGAACTGGGGGTGTTTGCCACTCACCTTGCATGGGTGTGAATGAACAACCCAACATGCAAGACACCAGGATCAGGTCCACATCCCAGGCTGTGCCGGTTCTGTGACAAAACACAGGCCTTTAGTCCCTAGGGCTGCGAATCCAGCACCTCGGCTATCTTCACATGGTTACAATTAAATAAGGGTCTATGCTGCTGCCTTTTTTACAGCTGCTGCAGAGTTTTGCATTTCCAAACTATGTGACACAGGCCCTGTAGAGCCTCCATCTTATCATAACTGGCATCCTCTACATGTTCCCTGACTCCTTCCCCTCTGGTTTTCATTCCTCCAGAAAGGGCTTGAAGCCTATTGCTTCCTTGTCTTCTGTGCCATCTGCCTGGTCGCCGTCATTTACATCTTCATCATTGTCCCCGAAACCAAGGGCAAAACCTTCATGGAGATCAATCAGAGCATGGCCAAGAGGAACAAGGTAGAAATCCAGATGGACAAACAAAAGCTGAATGATTTCCAGCCTGCCTCAGAGACACCGAAGAAGAAGGAAGAAGCACACTCAGCCAGTGTGCTCTGATCCGGTCCAGCGTCCCGACTGACACAGTGATGACCAGTTTCAGAGTAACAGCTGTGTTAGTCTGTCTTTGCAAAAAGAAAAGGAGTACTTGTGGCACCTTAGAGACTAACCAATTTATTTGAGCATGAGCTTTCGTGAGCCACAGCTCACTTCATCGGATGCATACCGTGGAAACTGCAGTAGACATTATATACACACAGAGACCATGAAACAATACCCCCTCCCACCCCACTGTCCTGCTGGTAATAGCTTATCTAAAGTGATCATCAAGTTGGGCCATTTCCAGCACAAATCCAGGTTTTCTCACCCTCCGCCCTCCCCCCACAAACTCACTCTCCTGCTGGTAATAGCCCATCCAAAGTGACCACTCTCTTCACAATGTGTATGATAATCAAGGTGGGTCATTTCCAGCACAAATCCAGGTTCTCTCACCCCCTCACCCCCCTCCAAAAACCACACACACAAACTCACTCTCCTGCTGGTAATAGCTCATCCAAAGTGACCACTCTCCCTACAATGTGCATGATAATCAAGGTGGGCCATTTCCAGCATAAATCCAGGTTTTCTCACCCCCCCACCCCCATACACACACAAACTCACTCTCCTGCTGGTAATAGCTCATCCAAAGTGACCACTCTCCCTACAATGTGCATGGTAATCAAGGTGGGTCATTTCCAGCACAGATCCAGGCTTTCTCACCCCCTCCCCCCCCCCCCGCCCCGGGAACACACACACACACACATAAACTCACTCTCCTGCTGGCAATAGCTCATCCAAACTGACCACTCTCCAAGTTTAAATCCAAGTTTAACCAGAACGTCTGGGGGGAAGGGGTAGGAAAAAGCAAGGGGAAATAGGCTACCTTGCATAATGACTTAGCCACTCCCAGTCTCTATTCAAGCCTAAGTTAATTGTATCAAATTTGCAAATGAATTCCAATTCAGCAGTTTCTCGTTGGAGTCTGGATTTGAAGTTTTTTTGTTGTAAGATAGTGACCTTCTTGTCGGTGATTGAGTGACCAGAGAGATTGAAGTGTTTTCCGACTGGTTTATGAATGTTATAATTCTTGACATCTGATTTGTGTCCATTTATTCTTTTACGTAGAGACTGTCCAGTTTGACCAATGTACATGGCAGAGGGGCATTGCTGGCACATGATGGCATATATCACATTGGTGGATGTACAGGTGAACGAGCCTCTGATAGTGTGGCTGATGTGATTAGGCCCTGTGATGGTGTCCCCTGAATAGATATGTGGGCACAGTTGGCAACAGGCTTTGTTGCAAGGATAGGTTCCTGGGCTAGTGGTTCTGTTGTGTGGTATGTGGTTGTTGGTGAGTATTTGCTTCAGGTTGGGGGGCTGTCTGTAAGCGAGGACTGGTCTGTCTCCCAAGATTTGTGAGAGTTTTGGGTCATCCTTCAGGATAGGTTGTAGATCCTTAATAATGCGTTGGAGGGGTTTTAGTTGGGGGCTGAAGGTGACGGCTAGTGGCGTTCTGTTATTTTCTTTATTAGGCCTGTCCTGCAGTAGGTGACTTCTGGGAACTCTTCTGGCTCTATCAATCTGTTTCTTCACTTCCGCAGGTGGGTACTGTAGTTGTAAGAAAGCTTGATAGAGATCTTGTAGGTGTTTGTCTCTGTCTGAGGGGTTGGAGCAAATGATGTGATGACCAGCAAGTGATGACCAGGGTTTCTCTTCAGTGGGGGAGCAGCTTCCTGACTGGACCTTTGCTTTTTCATTCAAAACTTTGTCTGCATGTCTCCCACAGTGGGGGAGCATCCAAAGAAGCCAGAGAGTAGAGTCCGCACTAGCTGCTCCCTGCCAGCACTAGCGTGAATGTTGGTGGTAATGTTTGGGTTTAGAAAATTAATCTCCTTTCTCTTCATTCACAGCTTGAGCTAACTGTGGGCCCTAACTCTCAGCCAGCAAAAAATTGTCACTTAATGCTTAAGTAGCATGTCCAAAGTGCTCTGCAAACTCATCCAAATTCTGGAGAGGCGGGTATCGCTGTCCCTGTCTTACAGATAAGGAAACTGAGGCCGTGAAATTTGCAGAGCCAGGATTAGATCCCACAAGGGCCTACCTTCCAGCCCTGCTCTGGCCAGTAGACTGTGCTGTCCGTTGGTGGATGTAGGCTGCAAATTCAATGGGAGCAACGTAACTCTGGTGTAATTCCAGTACGAAACAAAACAAAACAAAAAAATACCAAGAGCATGGTACAATGAATGCTCTGGGGCTGGTAGGGAGTAGGTCAGTGAGGGGCCCTGGCTCACCCTCAGGACCTGCTCTATGCAGCTGACTTAGGGTCCGTCCAGCAGCAAGAGAGACCCCGCCTGGGATGCAGTGTGGGAGACGACTCCATTCAGCATCCAGACCTGGCTGTGCGGAGGTGGGAGAGCTCTCACCATAAGCCTAACACCCCGCCCCTGTGTTTCTGCTGCCTGGAAACCGGGACATGTAGGGGTATTGCCCCGGTGCTCCCTCTGGCAGATTTGACTCTTCGGGCCTCTGTAGCATCACACAACATCATGCAGCAATGTGGCCGGGAACAGTGCCACCGTGACACAGGGTCCAAGCCATGGTGCCATGCATGACTTCTCAGCAATGGAGCAAATGCAGGTCCTCGCCCTCCCTCCCTCTGCTACTCTGGGTGTTTTTGCACCCCTGATCAGCACCCTTGATCTCAGTGGGTGCTGTTGAACCCATGAACCCCCACTAAAGCTGCCCCTGGTGCTGCCTGTCCGGTTAACTATCCCTAATGCAGTTTCTGTCACACATAGCAGGGCTGGGACAAACCAGCTTGGAGCTAACTAGACCCCTCCCAGGTCAGTGCCAAGCAAGCAGGGTGTGAGCCCCTGTGAGCATTTTCTGGCTTTCGTCATCGCTGGAAGTATTGTCCCATTCCACCATTCAAGCCAATGTTGCCTAAAGAGCCACCCAAGTGTTGGAGACCCCAGGGCATGGCCACTAGTTAAGTCGAGGGGATGGAAGCCCATAAGGGTCGAGGAAGTCTTCCTGCTGAAGGCCTAAGGCCTTCTTGTCAACCCCCCTTAATAGAACTCAGGCCTGGCTGGTTTGAGTAACCTCTTTTGCTCTTAAAACAATGTTGCTGTTGTAGATAATGCCTCATAGTGTAAGGTTTGCTGACGCCAAGTTAAAGATAACAGGAGAGACAGCTACAAGGCCAGACAGGATGTGCTGGTTGTTTAAGTTGCTAGGAATGCTTGTTAGAGGTTGCAGGAAATAAACATTGTTGTAACCCATATAAGGAAGGCAGAGTATTTGTGCAAAGCTTTGATTGGCTGATGTGTAGTGCAGTAGCATTAAGGAATATAAAAGTGTGTGTAATGACCTGCTCTGGTGTGCAGGATTTGAGATTTCTCTCCCTGTACCTTTCTTTGGAATTCCAAATAAACTTTTCTGCTTCTCCACTCCGTTGTGTTTATTGGGTGACGCACACCAGCTAACGAACCCCTGCTGTTGTTTTGCCTGTGGGCACTGGGTGCCGGCAACAGCTTTTGGCGTCCCTGGGTGGGCGTGAGGCTGCAATTTAGCCTTGCCCAGATCCCCTCCGGCTTTCGAGGATTGCAGCGACAACCGACGCCCAGCGTGCACCGGTGAGTTCATCAGGGGCCTCGGAGGAGACGCAGTTTGATCGACCCCAGAGGGCACGACGGTGCAATGCACTCACACAGTGGAGAAGTACCGAGGGTGACGGTGGGAGGAACCGGTCCTTCAGATAAGGTAGGAACTTTGTGAAATCCGGATTGTGCTCTCTGTTTGAACTTGGGGACGCCCAGAGTTACCCTGTAGGTATGGGACAGGAACAGAGCACAGGAGGTAGGGTACAGTGCACGCCCCTAGAGTGTATTTTAGTAAATTGGAAGGTATTTGGATCAGATCCAATGACTAAGGGTAAATTGAAGTGATTTTGTATGGTTGACTGGCCTCAGTACCAATTAGAGGACCAGGAACAGTGGCCTCCCGGAGGATCACTAAATCATAATATAATCCTCCAGTTACTCCTGTTCTGTCAGTGAACGGGGAAGTGGAATGAGCATTCTTATGACCTTGTGGTCTCGTACTGGTATTTTACAACTCTGTAATTTAACCCCGATTGGCCCGGTAGCAATTAATGTCAGTCCCCGGACCCCCACCCCAAATGTAACGGCAGATCCGGTGCCCCCTTCGGCCCCTACACCCACACAGAGTGAGGCTCAGAGTAAGATTCCTAGTGAAGCTCATAGTGAGGTTCGAGCTCCATCTGCTGGACTATACCCGTTACTTACCAAGACTAAAATCGCCCGTAATGCAATAGAAAGGACAAGCTCTTACCATGCAGGTCTATACTCATACACCTTTTAATCCTATGGACCTGGCCACTTTCAAAGCACAGGCTGGAGAATTTTCTATCAACCCAAGCAAGTTTGTATTGGTTTTTGAGGGATGTCTTAGCAGCTACAAGCCAGACTGGGATGATTGTAATGTCCTTCTGCGAACATTATTGACTGAGGTTGAACAAAAACAGGTCATAGCTAAAGCAAGGGGAAAAGCAAAAAGGCGATATGACCAGGACTGTAACAATATCCCGACCCCAGATGATCAGGTTCCCATAAAGGATCCTAGGTGGGACCCAAATGACAATCAGGCTATGACCCACGTCACCTCCTATAAGGAGCTGCTACTGTATGGACTCCGTTACGCAGCTGTCAGACAGAATAATTGGACTAAACCATATGAGGTAGTGCAGGATCCAAAGGAAAGCCCTGGAGCCTTTTTACAGCGCATTCGAGACACGATCCGACAGTATACCAATGCAGATCCTAATGATCCGCAAACTGAGGCAATTATTAAAGGAGCATTTACAAGCAGGGCAGCCCCCGACATTAAGAGAAAGCTACAGAAAAAGGAGGATTTAATGGGTATGACCATGGCACAGATTTTAGAAGCAGCAAATCGTGTGTATAGTTTAAGAGAAGTGGAGAAGGAGAAGAAGCAAGTGAAATTGATGGTAGCGGCGGTGCAGGCAGGCACGAAGGGAAGTGAACGAGAAGGAAGGGGCCATGGACGCGGACGTGCAGGCCCGCAGGAGAGACAACTGGGGTGCAATCAGTGTGCCCTGTGTTGGCAAGAGGGACACTGAAAGAATGAGTGCCCAAACAAGAAGGAAAGGGGGGGTACCTCTATGATGGCGATAGAAGAATAGGAATACAGGTGTCAGGGGAGACAGATCATCCTACCCCCGGAACCCTGAGTAAAAATGCGGGTGGGAAATGAAGAAATAGATTTTTTAGTGGACTCTGAAGCGGCACGAATGGCTGTAAATCAACCCTTCAGTTGCCAGTAGCAGACTCCCTCACTGTGACAGGAGCCACAGGCAAAGATACCAAGCAAAGCTCTTAGAGAACCCCGAGGTCACGCTGCAGCCTTGTCCATCCCTTAACCCTGCCACCCTCTTACCAGAAACTGAGAAACAGTAACATGACTGTTTGGAGATCATACATGCCCAATATTCTAGCCGCCCGGACTTGAAGGATGTGCCCCTCCCAAATGCAGATTATGAGTGGTACACTGATGGTAGCAGCATGGTGATAGATGGGCAAAGGAGGGCGGGTTATGCTATTGTGACCCTCAATGACACCGTGGAAGCTGAAAGTTTGCCCGCTGGGACCTTTGCCCAGTTGGCTGAGCTAGTGGCCCTTACCCGTGCACTCGACCTGTCCAAAGGAAAACGGGTCAATATTTTCACTGATTCCAAATATGCTTTTGGTGTGCTGCATGCCCATGCTGGTCTATGGAAACAAAGGGGAATGCTGACAGCCCAAGGCTCCCCAGTAAAACACAGGCCCCAAATCCTCCGGCTTCTAGAGGCAGTGCAACTCCCCTTGGAAGTGGCAGTGGTACACTGTAAGGCCCATCAGAGGGAGGATCAATATGTGACCAGGGGTAATGCCAGGGCAGATAGAGAGGCGAAGCATGCTGCCACCCTGATGTCCCCTCAGACTGAGAACACCTATATGCATGCCCTTATCCCATCAGTGGGGGAGCTCCCGACCCCTCAGTATTCTGGGGAGGAGAAACAGCTAGCTGACAAACTTGGTCTCCAGGAAAAGGAGGGATGGCTTCATTCCCCGGAAGGGAAAGTCCTCTTACCAAAGGGCCTAATGCTGCCAGTATTACAGAAACTACATCAAACCACTCACGCTGGCAGGGAGGCACTTATCCAACTAATGGGAAAGTACTTCATAACCTCCAGACTCAGACCCCTGGCTGCCCAGGTACAGGCGGAATGCCTAGTCTGTCAAAAGAATAACCCCCGACCAGGACACCCAGTGCCACCAGCGGCCCTGGAACCCACTCCATGCCCCGGACGGGTGCGGCAAATAGACTTTACTGAGTTTCCCTGGACCCAAGAGTTCAAGTATCTCCTTGTCATAGTGAATAGATTGAGCGGATGGCCGGAAGCCTTTCCATGTCGCAATTGCACTGCCAGGACAGTGTCTCTCAAGTTTGTTAAGGAGATCATTCCTCGCTTTGGATTTCCCCAGTGGATAAAATCTGACAATGGAACACACTTCACGTCAAAAATCGTCCAAAGCATCTCAGACGCCTTACAGATTCCCTGGAAACTCCATACACTCTGGAGACCGCAAGCCAGGGGGGTAGTGGAGCGAACCAATCAGACCCTTAAGCGACATCTCTCGAAAGTATGCCAGGAGGCCTCTCTACGGTGGCCTGATGCCCTGCCCCTAGTCCTGCTCCGCATCCGTGCTCTCCCAAAGGGTAGATTAGGGCTCAGTCCCTTTGAAATTATGTTTGGAAGGGCATGGCCTATGAATGGTACACCGGTTGTGTCAGGGGGAGAGTGGGAACTGGGGAATGGGTTTCTGTCTCAGTATGTGTGCTCCCTGTCTGCTGTTCTTTTGCCTCTTTACAGGTATACTAAGGATTCCCAGCCTCTACCCTTGGACTCGCCCATCCACTCCCTGCAGCCTGGTGATTCAGTGCTCGTATGTACCTGGAAAGACGAGCCCCTCCAGGAAAAGTGGAAGGGACCCTATACCATCCTGCTGGTCTCCCACACGGCAGCAAAGGTCAAGGGACACAAAAATTGAATTCATTATACCCGGCTGAAAGTGGTGTCAACCCCCCTCGGCTGAAAGGTGGACCGTGCATTCAGCCCCCTCCACTGAGGATCTTGGACTAAAATTATTATTCAAACGGCAGCCCACCGGGAAGGCAGGAAAGTAGATGGGAGGGTATATTTTATTCCCCCTCTTGGCCATGTGCCTAACCGGTACTGCTGTTTCAGGCACTGTACCCGTAAATACCTGGCTGGCACTGGCCCAGAGTGCAGTAAACGCAACGTTGTTCTCAGAGAACCTTATTCTCAGAGACTGAGGCAGCAGCTCTGGCCTTTTCCTTAGTTGGTATTCCTGGGCTTGTAGTGCATAATTATCACGCAGTAGAGCACCTTGCCTGCACGGTGGCAAAGGCCATTAATTTAACCTCAACCGTCCTGGCCCAACTCTCACATGAGTTAGGGGAAGTACGTCAGGGTATGCTACAGAACAGGTTGGCTGTGAATTATTTGCTTCTACGCCATGGTCACCTATGCCAGAAGTTTGCAGGAATGTGTTGCTTTAATATAACAGATGCAGGGCCATCTGTAGAAACTGATTTACAACGCCTACAGCAGCTGGCAAAGGGCATTCATCAGCAAACTGGGGAAGATTGGCTAGGCTCTTTATTTTCTGGTTGGGGCCTTTCCCCATGGCTAAGTGGGTTGTTTAGCCTATTATTTAAGTTTTTTTTCCCCTGTATTAATCATGTTATGTTTACTGTGTTCTATGTGGTCCTGTGTAAAAATGCTTATTTTGCATAGCTTTAAAAATTTTAATTTTATGCATAGCCCACTAGTAAGTAAATAAAGATGAGAAGACTCAAGCAACAGAAATAAGTATTCTCAAAGGAGGGAATTGCTGGAGACCCCAGGGCATGGCCACTAGTTAAGTCGAGGGGATGGAAGGCCATAAGGGTCGAGGAAATCTCCCTGCTGAAGGCCTAAGGCCTTCTTGTCAACCCTCCGTAATAGAACTCAGGCCTGGCTGGTTTGAGTAACCTCTTTTGCTCTTAAAACAATGTTGCTGTTGTAGATAATGCCTCATAGTGTAAGGTTTGCTGACGCCAAGTTAAAGATAACAGGAGAGACAGCTACAAGGCCAGACAGGATGTGCTGGTTGTTTAAGTTGCTAGGAATGCTTGTTAGAGGTTGCAGGAAATAAACATTGTTGTAACCCATATAAGGAAGGCAGAGTATTTGTGCAAAGCTTTGACTGGCTGATGTGTAGTGCAGTAGCACTAAGGAATATAAAAGTGTGTGTAATGACCTGCTCTGGTGTGCAGGATTTGAGATTTCTCTCCCTGTACC